GGCTTCCCCATGAATAAAAAGACATTTCATTTCCTGAACTTCAATTCCTGTAGAGTGCCTGTGAATGATTGGAGAATGCATCCTTCCACACACAACTGCACGTAGGTGACACAGCTGAATTCAAACAGGCTAGAATTAAGTCTCTCTTAACTGGACTAATGCACTTCTTGATGCTCCATGCATGAATGAGCCCCTTGCCACAGGTGATAATATTAATATTAATAATAATAATAATAATAATAATTGCTTACACTTATAAAGCGCTTTTCTGGACACTCCACTCAAAGCGCTTTACAGGTAATGGGGATCCCCTCCACCACCACCAATGTGCAGCCCCACCTGGATGTGCTGTATCTGTGCTCAAACTTGAATATGTACTTCAGTTGTGAGGCTGCTGGTATGGATCACATCCAAAGTGAGTTACAGTAGCGTCCGAGTTGCTAATAAGGCTCCCACTGTGAAACAGGTCCCAGAACCCTTGACCTCCACTACCTTTGGTTCAGCTGTTTGCTATAAAACACAGCAAACAGTAGCTGTTGAAGTAGAACTGTCCGCTAACTCTTGGCTGACCGGAGTCCAGGGGGTAAAACAAGTTCTCCTCACTTGAGCTGTTGTAGGTGAGAATGGTGTGGTGTTCTCAATCCACCGAGTCGGGTCATGTAAGAGTGAGAGAAACATTGGCTTTCTCTCTGGACAAGCATTTCAACAGTTGAGTGAAGCTCCTGAAAGTGCCCTTCACTTCAAAGTTGATTATCACAGTAATACTGATGAAATACAAAATGACAGTTTGTCTTGGGGGGGGGGGTTAGGTCACCTTCTGGGCACTATAGTCCGAAGGTCTGCCCACAGCTTGATTCACTTGCATAGTATGTTTGAGTGTGCTCCTGCTGGTCCTATGTCCCTGTCCAGAGGAAAATGTTCCTGCCAGGGCTTTTCCTTCACCAGGCCTCAGGGTGTTTTCTTTGTGGCCCATAGTTTTAGGTGAAAGGTTTAGGGGATTCAGATACCTTTCTGAATGTTTACTATGGTACGGGTGTTTGCTGCTGTGTGACTGCTGTGTCCTTTCTTGTTATATGTTCACCTGGCTTGGCCATGATTTTACCCATATCTCTTGGCTTCACTGAGTTGTGTATACACAGAGGGACATTTACCTTTTGATCTGATGTTATGATCATATCTAAAGCTATAAGCACCTTTCTAACCTTGATGGTCATTTAAAATGTGACAAAGGCATTTTTTGTAATCTGTTCATTTCTAATTTTGCAATTATCAAGTGTGAAGGGAGCCTAAAGGAATGAACCTTCTTCCAAGTAGGTACCTGCATCATCTTGCATAGCCTGCAAAAGGCTATGAATTGGCTACATTACTCTGCTCTCCTCCCCACTGATAGCTGATGTGTGGGGAGCGTTCTGGCGCACTATGGCTGCTGTCGCATCATCCAGGAGGGGCTGCACACTGGTGGTGGAGAGGATCCCCAGTACCTGTAAAGCGCTTTGAGTGGAGATCCTGACATGTTCCCTGGGTGGAGTGGTAGCACTGTGGCAAAGGATCTGCGCCTGTGGCTGGAAGGTTGCCGGTTCAAAACCCGGGGCCGTCAGAGGAATCCTACTTTGTTGGGCCCCTGAGCAAGGCCCTTAACCCCAACTGCTCCAGGGGCGCCATATTAACGGCTGACCCTGCACTCTTACCCCAAGCTTCTCTCCCTGTCTGTGTGTCTCATGGAGAGCAAGCTGGGGTATGCGAAAAGACAAATTCCTAATGCAAGAAATTGTATGTGGCTCATAAAGTGATCTTTTGCATTCGTTAGTGCTACGTTTGTGCCATTTGTGCCATTAAGAGTAACATTGTGTAACATTGTGTTGCTTTCATTTCTGAGATATAGCACCTGATTTTTTTGTGGGGGCCCCTACAATGGCACAGGAGAACCAAATAATAATAATTGCTTATACTTATGCTGTATAGCACTTTTCTGGACACTCCACTCAAAGTGTTTTACAGGTAATGGGGATCCCCTCCACCACCACCAGTGTGCAGCCCCACCTGGATGATGTGACGGCAGCCATAGTGCGCCAGAACGCTCCCCACACA